TCTTGATTTTCATCAATTGGTTCAGAATTTTCCTTACGACAATATAATAGATATCATCCATATATATATATATATATATATATATATATATATATATATATATATATATATATATATATATATATATATATATATATATACTATTTCATTTCATACTTCTACCACAAAGGTTTTGAATATTGTCACATTTAGTCTCTAGAACTGGAAGTTTTGTTTTTTACAAAAAATCCATATGTTTTATTCTGGTTTGGATATTGCTATATTTAGTCCATATAGATTTTTTTTACCAAAGAAGTCCCTATGTTTAATTTTTTTCGTATGTTGTCAGGTTTGACCTCTGTATAGAAAATAAATAACCAAAGTTGTCCACGTAATTTACAGAAAAGGTTTTTGTGCGATTATTTTTTACAGAAACAATCCATATTAAAAAAAATACAAAAAGTAGTTCGTACCTAATAGAAAATTTACAGATTACATCCTCTAATATATAATGTCATGTTTCGTCCCTACACTTTTTTGGTTTCACACTTTTGCCACATAAGTTTTGTAAATTTGCAGGATTGCTCCCTATATTTTTGCAGTTATGCAAGTTTTGTTCTCCCCAAGTGAGGGTAGCTACATACTAGTTATTACTATTTTATTTAGTTACTATTTAAGTAATATTTTAATAATTTATTTTATTTATTTTAAACAAAATATAAATTTAATACATCTGAATTTGAAGTGTCGGTGGGGGTTTCCACGGAAAAATTCAACCATCTTACTTTCTAGAAAATACTTTTCACCCTTATACTTCATAAAATATTATTTATACCTCACGATCTTTTAACTTTTTAAAATATACTTATATCTTTTTCGTTTTCTAAACTTTTATGTTTACACCATGTATTATAGACGATCTGATTTTCAGTTAGTACCCTCAACTACGTAAAATGTTACTTTTATCCGTCAGCTTTAAACTTTATAAAATGTCACTTTCATCCCCTCGACTTTCTAAACTTTAGTGTTTACCACATCCAAAGACAGTTATCTTCCATCAAATTTGTAAAATGTCACTTTAACCCTACCAACTTTGAACTTTATAAAATATTTCTTTCAACCCCTTTGACTTTTTAAACTTTCATGTTTGGCGTTGTAATATATATATATATAAATATATATATATATATATATATATATATATATATATATATATATATATATATATATATATATAAAATTTGATTTTCATTTAATAACTTTCATTTGAAACTGAAAAAAAAAACAATTTATTAGGTGTTTATTTTTATGTGTGTATGTATAAATTTAAGATTGTCTAACTTTTAGACATAAACTTAGATCTTTTGTTTGTTATTATTATTACTTTTTTAAAATAGTTATTTTTTTAATGTATGTGTCGATATAATTTTTTTTTAAAAGAAAATTAGTTGATATTATTTATTTATGTGTATGTGTAAATTTGAGTTCCTTTATGTATCGACATAAATTTTGTGTACATTTCCGTGTTTATTTTTTATGTTATTTTTCTACATATGCGGGTCACATATAATACGTTCAATATAAAGCACACTTCTTTTTGTCCGACTTTAGCCTATGCGTTTTGATTGTCATTTTTGGTCCTTGCTTTTATTACATTATCACTTTTTTAATTTGTTTTATTTCCACCAACAATTTCCAAGCTTTAATTTGTAACATTGTACTTTCTATCCCTCGACTTTGTAAAATATCACTTTCACACCTCAACTTAGAACTTTCTTACTTGTCACTTTTACCCCCTTTATTTTATAGACTTCATGTTTACCCCCATAGTATATATAATTAGACTTTTCTACAAGACTTCTAAACTTTAAAAAATGTTAGTTTGACCCCGTCAGCTTTGAATTTTATAAAATGTTACTTTCATCCCCTCCGGTTTCTAAACTTTAGTGTTTACCCCATCCACCGACAATTACCCTTAGATTTTGTAAAATGTCATTATGACTCCATTCGCTTTGAACTTTATATTTAGTCACTGCGGTTTGGTTGTTGTAATTTTTGGTCCTTGCTTTTACAATATTTTCACTTTTGTAAATTTCTTCTATGTAACTTTCTGTATAGTTGCCACATGTTTTCTAAATAATGCATATATTTTTAACACATGTAACCCATTATTCGTGAAATACATTGTCGCCACCGCAACGCACGGCGTGAAAATACCTAGTTTATCCCTAAATTGAAGATGTTATAGTATCAACCAATCCTTAAGGATGATTCGATCCCAGGAATAACTAAGAAAAGTAAAGGTCATATTTTTATCAACTAAAACTCATAAGATTTTCATTACATACTTGAGTTGAAAGTGCTTCTTGTTTGAGCGAGACATCTGTTGGTACTAACTCAAACTTATCATGTCAATCAAAAGTCTCAATTTAAGGTAAACTAACATGTTGTCTTTTCCTTATGTCTCATTTTTTAGAATTCTTGATTCTTACATTTTCCACAACGTAGAAGAGATATCATCTAGAATAAATAATAACCATCATAACATATAGTTAAATCAATATTGTTGAATATGGCCTTAAATTTTGGACTAACTACTTAGCATTCTCATTTGTGTATCATGTATCAATATGTATGGCCAAATAATCGATGCCCTTCATCCGGTACAAGTAAAAATATTCACTGATGAAGAATTTATCCTTACAAAAATCATCCATCATAATGTTGTTAGGTTGTAAGGCTATTTTTTTGGAAGAGGAAGTGCTAATATTAGTTTATGAATTCAACATGAAGAATACACTTTTCTATAACATTCATCATAGATCGGGCGGAAGGAGTTGGTTAGAATGGGACAATGGATTCAAAGTTGTTGATGAAGTTGCATCGTCGCATACCTTCATTTAGAAGCTACTAGGCCTACCATATACAAATATCAAGTCTACAAATATATTATTTTCAAGAATGACCCTCTAGATTACTAATGAATGAAATAATTTACAAATATATTTTATGAAACATAGAGTTAATCTATACATTGTTATTTTGGGTATTATCTGGTTTTCTAATAAACATATGATTTTTATATTTCAAAATGATTCTAGAATATTTCTTTAGGACTATGTAACACCCCACAAATTTTCAAACTTTTTCCTGCTATGGTTTTAAAAACATTCGGGTATTAACCCACATTTAACAAAAACCGGTCCCACAAAAAACCTTTTATAAATTAAAACGTTGGGTGTTACCATTAAGCATCAATAAATCCATAGCAAGCAAATAAGAATTATATCAATACAAAATAATAAGGAACTTAACAAGTTTCACTCCATTCTCTATCACTTGACTTCTAACTTCCATTTATCATCCTTTCTCCTTAAGTGTAACCTGAGATACATGACATTAAAAAGAGATACGTAAGACAATAATGTCTCGTGAGCTACGTGGGTTTGAGACCAAAAACATTTATTATATTTTCATCAAAAACTTTTCATCTTTTCAAAACATAGTTTTAGACCATAAATCCTTTTCAATCATTTTTGAGTAAAACTCATTTCGTACACATCATAAATATCATTTCATTTCATTTCATATCTTCATTTCATTGCAAAAGTCATCTTTCCATATTCCATTTTATTTTATAATTAATGGCTAATTCTGGTATTAAACCGTTGTCATTTTTATAATTAGGGTCTACGTCCAATAAATGAACCACTCCCAAGTCTAGACCAAGGTGGAAAGAACAAATCAATCCACTAATGCATCATTTCCATTAGGACATTTATCTCGCGAAGGGAAGGCGCCACCATGATAGATTCCTCTAGTGCCTTTTATGAGGTATCGTGGCACATACAACTTTCGTTTCATTACTTTCCAATTCTTTTCATTACTTTCCATTCCTTTTCATTACTTTCCATTTCTTTTCATTACTTGCCATGATTTGCATATTTCTTATTTTAGTATCAAAATACCCGTTTCAAACACGTTATCGAAACATTTGTTTTTTCCAAAACATTCTTTACTTTCAAGCGTTCTTGCTTTCAAGGCATTCTTTCAAAACATTTTTTTCAAAAACATTTAACATTTTTATTTCAAAACATTTCATATACCTAAGCATTGCATTTCATTATCAAAAATTCATTTTTCCATGTACTCCAAAGTGGAAAAATGTCAACACGTACTCACCTCAATCACACATAGGTTAGGTAGTGCTCTTTTAGTTCCTTTCCCCAGAGCAATCCTCTTCAAACACTACTTACACCATATATGAACATAAGTCATTAAAATGACCAAAATACCCATCGAAGGTTCAAATACTAAATTTTATTATTTCATACTATTCCTCATGAAAAAATATGAATGTAGGCAAAAACAGTGCGTAAATCTAAGCCTGTATGCTAAAGTTATGAAAAACACATTCTTTTAAATATACCCCTTAATTATAAAAACCCATTATTTTAAATTTCATTTTAAATCATTTTATATTTTTCAGCTAGTTTTATCAAACGATATTTTTTATCAGTTAGTTTTTCAGCTATCAGTTAACTTTTAATTTAACAGCAGTTTTTCAGCTCACAATTAGTATTTCAGTTAGTATAGAGAAATATGTAATTTACCCTTTGTTTTTTCTATCACATATTTTTTATATTATTTTATTTATTTATTTAGAGGTTCTATTTTGAAAAATCCATTCAACTTTTATATTGTATCGTCAGTGTTTGCTTTTTTTTTATTTTTTTTTATTTATAACGTATATTATACTTCCAAAAAAAATTGTTTTCACAAATGTCCAGTCAATCCACATGGAGACTTATTGTATTTGTGGGGTGCCGTATTACTGTTTGAAGTCAATTTGTATTTCCATGAAAAAAAGGGTAAAGACCCTTGCTTTTACTAGATAAGATGCTCAAATAAATCTTACGAAAAACACATACAGAATTTGATCACACAAAAAGAAGAAAACAGAAATTAGCATGCTTCTTCTTTTCACCCTTTTTCTATTTACATTCGGCTTCACGATATCTATGCCTTTGGCTGAGGGGCTTTTTGTAAGTTCCAATCTTACAGCCATGGGAAACATAGCAAAACCAGGCTGCCAAACACAATGCGGGAACTTGACTGTGAAATACCCTTTCGGCATAGGCGACGGCTGCTTCTTAGATGAGTCATTTCAGCTCACCTGCAACGACACTAAGGATCCCCCAAAGCTTTTTATCGGGTCAGAGAACATCCAAATCTACAATATTTCAGATTCCGAGTTGAGAATTTCCAATTCGATTGCTTTCAAATGTTACAACAAATCTGGTGTATCTGAATATTTTAGTGGGTGGTATGACTTTGAGGGGAGCCCTTTCACTTTTTCACAAAAGAACAAGTTAAATGTCGTTGGGTGTGATGATATAGCTTGGTTCAAAGGAAGGCCGAATGGATCATCAGTCGAGTTCACTAGTGGGTGTTCGGGATTCTGTAGTGAAGAAAGTGATGTACATAACGGGAACTGTTCAGGAATCGGCTGTTGTCAGACAACAATACCAAAGGGTCTACAATATTACAGAGCAGAACTTCAAAGCGTTCGAAACCATACAGGTGTTATAGGGTTCAATCCTTGTGGTTTCGCATTTCTTAGTGAAGAAAGCAGCTTTCAATTTGGTGGTGTAAGTGATTTGTCTGCTGTAGATTTTATTGATAGGATAGAAAACGTTCTTCCCATCGTTCTTGATTGGACAATTAGAGACGAAAGGATTTGTTCACAGGCTACGACATGCAAGGGAAATAGCTCCTGCAACGATGCAGATGTTGGCGGGTATAGCTGTAGCTGCAACAAAGGTTACGATGGCAATCCTTATCTTGATCCAGGATGCCAAGGTCAGTTTCAGTTATAAAACCATAAAATAACCTCAGCATTTATGACGTCATGCAATAAACAGAAACTAGCTTTAAACTACAATCATGTGTTGAATATTGCATAAATTCTGTACAAGATCAATATCAGTAAGCACCTTAATTTCCAAAACACAGATGTTTTGCATTTGTTGAATCATACCCCATAATTAGGAAGAAACGTTGTGAAGAAGTAACAAAGAAATTAAGCCGAAGAAAAATCTTTATTCCATGGATGTGTCATGTGTGTATGCTATACAGATAGGAGAGACCATAATTTCAAAGTCTTTTAGACTTTTACTTTGCGTGTCTTTTAACATGACTAAAAGTCATGGGACTTCTCCCAAGTTACACTAATTGTCGCTGTTCTATGCCCATATTGACACAGTAGACCTTATACATTATTTACTTACAACAGATAATTACTTTTATTACATGCAATAAAGAAAAGGACTTAGTAATCACTGAGAATATGTTGTTTGGTCCATAGTACTTATTATTAATTACTAATATAGAATATGAGTCAATCTAGTATCTCTTTGTTTTAAATTTTAATATGTGAATATTTTTATATGCCAGACATCAACGAGTGTACGGATAAAAGCAACTTCCCTTGTTATGGCAATTGCATTAATACTCCAGGGAGTTACAACTGTACTTGTTTTCCTGGACACACCGGGAATGCAACAACCCTAGATGGTTGTCGGTCACTTGCTGAAGATTCAAAGTTTCCTGTTGTGGTATTCGTAGTAGGTATGTATACTTCACTTAACTATTGTTGTGTGAAATATAACTGTTGTGTAGATTTCATCATACAGAGTACTAAAGTAAAACATAAAAACTGCAATAATAACCAAAAGAAATAGAGAAAGCAAAGAAGCTAGGGATCTAACTTTCAGTTTGAAGTATTATTGTCAAAGAGATGTTTAATTTTTTTATTAAACACATAATTTAATGCTTTGTAGTTCTGGTGTTTGGCTTGCTGGTCATATCAGCTGTGATAACTGGAATTTGCTTTCGCATAAGAAAGAGGAAGCAAGTCAAGCCACGAGAAAAACTTTTTGAGCAAAATGGGGGTGTATTTTTGAAACAAAAGCTCAGGGCTACAGGAGGTAATGATGCTGTGACTATGTTTAGCACTGAAGAGCTCCGAAAGGCAACTGATAACTATTCAGAGGATCAAATTATTGGAAGAGGTGGTTCTGGTGTGGTGTATAAAGGGACCTTGTCGGATAACCGTGTTGTTGCAATAAAGAAGTCTAAACTAGTTGACCGGACACAAGCAGAACAATTCATCAATGAAGTCTTTATCCTTACACAAGTCATCCACCGCAATGTGGTTAAGCTGTTAGGCTGTTGTTTAGAAGAGGAGGTACCAGTACTAGTTTATGAATACATCTCGAATAACACACTTTATTATCACATTCATCATAGATCCGGTGGAATGAATTGGTTGTCATGGGAGAATCGATTGAGAGTTGCTGTTGAAGCTGCAACTGCACTTGCATACCTTCATTCGCAAGCTTCTATGCCCATCATACATAGAGATGTAAAGTCCGCCAATATATTATTAGATGATAACTACACAACAAAAGTATCAGATTTCGGCGCTTCAAGGTTGATCCCTTTAGATCAGGATCAAGTCATGACTCTTGTTCACGGTACACTTGGATACTTGGATCCTGAATACTTTCAAACAAGCCAATTAACCGACAAGAGTGATGTATATAGCTTTGGTGTTGTCCTTGTGGAACTCTTAACTGGGAAGAAACCCATTTGTGCAAGTAGATCATATGAGGAAAAGAATTTGGCAACATACTTTGATAATTCAATGAAAGAAAACCGTTTTTTACAAATTGTTGAGCCACGACTGTTGCATGAAGGGACACTTGAGCAGGTACAAGCAGTAGCTGAGATCGCAAAGAGATGCCTTAATGAAGTGGGAGAACATAGACCTGCTATGAAAGAGGTGGCAATGGAGCTAGATGGTTTAAGGAAGTTTACTACTATATAATCCTTTGATTCAACATCAAGAAACACGAGAAAATAACTAAAAGCCTTGAGGAATTGGATCTTTATGGTGTTGGCGGATCAAGAAAACAAACCACACTAAGTTGGTATGGAGCTTGTAATAGTACTCTCAGTGGTTTGAGAATCATCACTAATTTGTCTTCAAAACATTTTTATTAGTATTTCTATTGCCTTCATGACTGTGTTGTGTCAAATCATCAATGCAATTTAAATGTTGCAGTTCTTTGTTTGTAGTGAATAGTACTTTTGGGTAGTTTGAGTGACTTTTCTAGGTCTTCACTTTAAAGTATCATATGATCTTTTGTTGTTTGCTTGAGTTTGAGATATGTAACGGAAAATGTGATGTATGGTATGTCAGGTAAAAAGCTAAGCTAATTATTTTCTCTTATCTGGAATTATGGACCCTAGTATGATGGGCGTACATAAGGTACGTCGTGCGTACTACGCAGCTTGCATGAGACGGGTTATTTCCCTGGTACGCTGGGCGTACTCATGCATACGTGGGGTGTACGTCGGTCAGGGGCAAACCCTAATTTTTAGGGTACGCACATATTTAAACACATTAAGTCCCCCAAGTCCTTACCTTATCAGCCTCCATTGCCTCTTTGAGCTATACCTCGAAACCCTAATCCATTTCCCAAAGAGATTGACCATTTTGTGTGTGTGTTTTGGTGTGTGTTGTGCATATTAAAGAAGAAGAAGACTCGTAGAGAAGCATTGGACAACAAGGAGGTTGTAGATCCAGAGATTATCCACTCTTTCCAGCTTATTGGAGGTATAAAGTCTAAACCTTGCTCATCTTATGTCTACATCTGGATTTGGGAAAGAATTTAGCATATTTTGGTCCCATAGATGAACTCATGTGAGTAAATACCACTCCATATGTTATGGGATGTTTCTTTTGATGTTTCTGACATCCATGATCCATAAAGCTTGCATCTTGATGGTTGTAGACCAACCATGCATGAGTTAGTGACAGTTTAATGGAAGTAGAAGGCTAGATCTATGGTTTGTGTCCCATTAAGCCATCCAAAGGAGTAAAGATGCCAACCTTATTGCTTAGGACGTTTCAAATGAGCTAGATCTGTAGTTGGACATTAGGTCTTAATGGATTAAGATCTTAAAATTGAGATTTGGCCAAACGGGGCGTACGTAGGGCGTACAAATGTGTACGTTGAGCGTACGCACTTGGAACACTAATTCGTAAATAGCTCTCGAGTATTTCGGGCATACTGATGGTACGCTTAGTGTACTCACCAGGGAGTTTTTGGGCCTTTTTTTCGGGTCACTTTGGACTTTAGGGTTTTTGGGCCTTCTTGGGCCACAAACCTTTCCAAATTGGGCTTTTTAGGATTTGGACCCACATTAGGCTTTAGTGTCTTTTGGACTTTGGACCAGATTGGAATTGGAATATGTTATGCTAGGCCCATTAAGCGATGGGTAAGCGGCCTTTTACCCTAGGAGTTGGGATTTAGAATCTGGACCCTCAGTTTGGGTTAATAACCTAATTGCTAATTAGGGTTGTATTATTGTGATTTAGTGTATGTATTTTTGGATTCAACAGCCTGAGGGTGATTTGTTGGGTTCCAGTCCGAGTTGAGTTTCCTTCATTTGTACTCGCGGGTCGAAGGCACCAATGTCGGCCCACTGGATTATGTTTGTAGAATGATAGTTATCTTTGTGACACTAATTGTTATGCCTATATGTGCTTGTTGTCTTTGTGACTCTTGTTGTTATGATTGCATGCTTAGTTGTAGCGGTGAAGTAGATTCGGTACTGATTGAAAGATATCGTAGGGGGTGAAATAGACCCAGTACCGGTTGAAAGATACCGAAGGGGGGGTGAAATACACCCAGTACCGGTTGAAAGATATCGAATGGGGTGAAAAGACCCAATTATATTTTGAATGTTATATGTGTATGGTATGAGGTATTTTGGGGAAGCTCACTAAGCTTTGTGCTTATAGTGTTCAGTTTATGTTTCAGTTACTTCCACTTCGAAAAGGAAGGGCACGACCTAATCGCACCGCATCCGTCCATGTTTTCCACATTATGTGATTTTGGGATTTTTTACTCTGATGATATTTTTCACTATGATATATTTTGGTTGATTTGACATGATTTTTAAATGTTTGGGAATGATTTAAAAACAAAAATTTTATCTGAATTTTTGGGATGTTACAAGTTGGTATTAGAGCCTTGGTTTGAGGGATTCAGACATACTCTTAGGTGAGTCTGAACTCAAACTGAGGATTTCGTAGAATTTTTCATAAAAAAGAACATTTTATTAAGTGATTATTTATAAAAAGAAAGGGTGGGATGTGTGTAATTAGTCGAGCTCAAGAAAGTATTCCCAAAATACCCATACATGTTATATGTTTTATGCTATGATATGAGAACCACATGCTAGATTAGGACTAGGGGTCTGCTTGGGAATTGCATAATAGAATGCTAGGAGAGATGCCTATATGTGCCTATTATTTGAGCTTATAGATTTTCATGCTAATATAGATCGGTTATATGATAGGATGGCCTAGTTAGGGTAGGTTCGTATTCAAATTTATTAATGCTTGAATGCTGCATGATTTGTGCTTTTAGGAATACTCGGTAATATCAACTAACTGCTAGACGAATGCACTATGTTACATATTGTTTGAATTAGATAATTTTAGAGGGTTAGGTTTAACTCTATTGCACAGCTTTTGTCTGAGTCCAACCATTGTAGTGTGTGACCCTTCGCTCGAAGAATTATCTAGTTCCGACAGTATGTAATTGTAATTGTGTGGTAGTTAGGTGATATTAGAGGGAGTTCCTTCTGCAGCTGATAGAAGTGAGTAGTGAGGAAAGGAACTCTAGGAAGGTCCTGTAATATGTTTTGGCACTTAGGGCGCTCTATAGTATGAGAGGAAGTACTAGTTAGAAAGAAGCAACTTGGAGGATTCGAGACAATCCTTGGGGAGGGTATAGGTAGGTGTGGAAGGTAGTATTGGGCCCGTACTAGTGGAAGCACAGGATCTATACCTAAGATAAGGAAGGTCACGATGAATTCAAGAAGCTTCGAGAATGTGGACCTCTTCGTATGTATATTGATTATTTCTTTTGTGGTATGTTTCAACATGGTGATGACACACAATGGGGCAGGAGGTTCAGGATCTAGATCTGGTTCGGGCTCGGGCATCGAACCAATTGATGAGGGTTTACATGAGTTTATCGCGTCCAAGATTACTAGAGTCATCCTCGACGCGACCCCTGTAATGTTTGGGTCGATCAAGGAGGGTATCATCGAGTTGATGGAGGAACGTCTTCGGATCTTCAGGGTCAATCTGGCCGCTATTCAGCACGGAGCCCGCACTCTCTCCTTCAAGGATTTCAGGGGATGTGAGGCGTCGGAGTTTTTTTGGGTGAAGGACCCTATTGCCTCCAAGCGTTGGATAGCATATATTGAGTGTGCCCAGATGACTAGCTTTTTCCCCGAGGGGTCGAGGTTAGGTTCGCTGCATGATGTTTGAAGTAGTGAGCTCGGGATTGGTGGGAGGAGGTTGGTTATATGCTAGGAGCCCTAGTCATTGAGGCCATGACTTGGTCGGACTTTGTGGCCCAGTTCCGAGCTGAGTTTGCACCAGCTGTTAAGGTGCAACAGCTGGCGAGGGAGTTCCTAGATATGCGTCAGACGACAGAGACTATGGTGGAGATCACCACTAAATTACGAGAGAGAGCTTTATTAGTACCCAAGTATGTTGCAGACGAGGAGATGAAGAAGACCCTGTACCATGACATGTTGAGATCAGATATTAGGGAGTTTGTTAGTTTCTCCGTCTGTCAGACGTTGGACGATATGATATCTACGGCCCGGGAGAGGGAAATTGACTTGGAGCATTTTGGGAAGAGGAAGGCAAAGCATGGGCAAACGATGAGGGTTTCAACAAAGAAACCCAAGGGCTTCAATTCTAGATCGAAGGGACAAGAGGGTCGGAGTTGTTGTGGCAAATGTGGCAGAGCACATGATGGAGTCTGCAAGGCGGGTGGTTAGGGCTGCTATAAATGCGGCAAGACAGGGCACTTTGGCAGGGATTTTACCGTCATTACTACCACACAGGTATCTGATCTGATTTGCTTCCATTGCAATCAGAGGGGCCATAAGAAGGCTAATTTTTTGAGCTTAGCAGCGGTGGAACCAATAGCAGCACCTGCTCCGGTGACCTTGAGGATCACTGATAGCCGCCAGGGCAAGGCGGAGGCGCCAATTGTTCGGAGCAGGGCATTTCAGCTGATAGCCGAGGAGGCTCGTGCAGCACCTGATGTGGTCATAGGTATGTATTCTCTCCTTACCTTTTTACTTATGTTATTTATCATGCTTAGAGGTTTGTATTGTTGTTTAGGGTCATTCCTTGTGAACGGTATTCCTGCGTTGGTTTTATTCGATTCAGGAGCTACTCGATCTTTTGTATCTCTTGCACTTAGTAAGAGGTTTTGGCGATGTTCCAGGGGAGCTGGATTATCCTTTAGAGGTTTAGATAGTTGATGATCGTTCGATGTGAGTGTCCAGGGTTCATCTGGGATGTACTTTGGAGTTATTTGGTGAGTAGTATCCGATTAATTTGCTTCTTATTCCCTTGCGAGATAATAAGGTCATTGTGGGGATGGATTGGTTGAGCCCCAATGGGGGCGATAATTGATTATGGGATTCAGTTGGTACGAGTTCGGGCCCCAAGTGGGGGAGAGTTGGCGATCCATGGTGAGGGTGCTCAGCGTGGGCTGGCTCTTTATTCACCAGCGAGGGCCAGGCATTATCTCCAGCAGGTATGTTCCGAGTTTGTGGCATATGTGATGGATGTTCAGGAAAAGGATAAGTTGACTATGGTCGATGTATCGATTGTTCGGGAAAACCCGGATGTGTTCCCGGAGGATTTGCCTGGAGTACCTTCGGAGAGGCAGATGGAGTTTCGGAATGATTTGGTCCCAGGTGCGGCTCCAATCGCCAAAG